CTGACAGAAGAGCAGAAGATCAAACACCGCATGTTCTCACTCATAGGCGGGTGTTGAACAATGAGAACACATGGACACAGGGAGGGGAGCACTACACACTGGGGTCAGTTGGGGGGAAATAGGGGAGGGACGTTGGGGGATGGGAAGCTGGGGAGGGATAGCAGGGGGAGAAATGCCAGATGTAGGTGATGGGAAGGAAGGCAGCAGATCACACTGCCACGTGTGTTCCTATGCAACAATTTTGCATGTTCTTCACATGTACCCCAAAACCTAAAATGCAATAAAATAAATAAATGGGAAAAAAAATAAAAATAAAAATAAAAAAAATAAAAAAAAAAAAAAAAAAAAAAAAAAAAAAAAAAGAAAAAAGAAAAAAAAAGTTTATAAAATAAAGTTACAGTAAGTTAACGTTAATTTATTATTGAAGAAAGAAAAATACTTTTTTTTTTTTTTTTTGAGATGGAGTCTCCCTCTGTTACCCAGGCTGGAGTGCAGTGGCATGATCTCAGCTCACTGCAACCTCTGCCTCTTGGGTTCAAGCGATTCTCCTGCCTCAGCCTCCTGAGTAGCTGGGATTACAGGTGTGTGCCACCACGCCCAGCTAATTTTTGTATTTTTAGTAGAGACAAGGTTTCACCATATTGGCCAGGCTGGTCTCGAACTCCTGACCTCGATCTGCCCAACTCAGCCTCCCAAAGTGCTGGGATTACAGGTGTGAGCCATCATACCCAGCCTTTTACTGTACCTTTTTTATGTTTAGATATATCTAGATACACAAATACTTACCATTGTATGACAGTTACCTACAGTATTTAGTATAGTAACATGCTGTACAGGTTTGCAGCCTAGGAGCAAGAGGCCAACAGAGCCTAGGTGCATTGTAGGATATACAATCTAGGTTTGTGTAAGTACACTCTAGGAAGTTTACACAATGACAAAATTGCCTATGGACGCGTTTCTCAGACACTCAATGTTAATTGATGCATGGCTGTATTTTTAGTGACTTGTATTTTGATTTTTGCATGTGAACTGCTGTTCATGTACATGGTCTGTTTTTCCATTGGGATACTTGAACTTTCCACTTCTAGAGATATCCAGTTTGATTTCACTTCCCTATTTCCTGGCACCTCATTTTTGGACTATAGAGCCACCTCCATACAATTCTTTCCCTTATATCTCTACCCCGCAACATATACAGTGTGTAGCCTCCCGCTGTGTTTTACTCACCTAGAATAAGAAATGGCGAATTGGCAACTATGATGACAAATGGCACCCCAATGTGCAAGAGCAGGCCAAAGCCGCTCACCACTGCCAAGAAAGCAGAAATCACTCCAAAGGCTGCAACACACATTTTGTTTCGTATGCAGTCAAACCTGTAAATTTGGAGGGAAAAATTGTGGAATTTGTGGTGGTGGCTTTCATCCACGCATAGCATTCTTGACTGGGATACCTAGGTAGAAACCTCTAGGGCAATAATTTCCACACGTATCTGCTGGAGACATTTAATTCCCAAGCACTTTCTCAGACCAACTGAAAAAAAATAAAATAAGAAAGAAAGGGGGCAGAAAAGTTGGAAATCTGTAAATCTGCTCTTTAACCAACTCTCCTACGTGTGATTCTTTGCAGCCGGCCAAGTGCTAATTCATTGACAAGCATTTCGGAAACACAAAGAATTACTAAAACTGCTGATGGCTAACTCCACTTTGGTCTTCAGAAGGGCATACAATGTATAAAGATGTAATATGTGACAGATAGTAGAAGAGGTTTTTGTATGGTTTTGGAGTTTAATTGGTATCAACTCAGTACAGACTATTTTAAATTTAGGATGCTACATAAAATCCCCATGGAAATCACAAAGAAAATCTCCAAAAAATATCACAAAAGGGGATGAAAAGAGAATCAAAACAGCTCACTAGAAAAATATAAACTAAACATAAAGCATCATGGAATGTCACTGTGATAGAAATCTTACTACTTATGCCTGGTACGGTATAATTCCCAAGTGTATTGTATACCAGAAAAAGAAAATAACTATTAAAAAAAAATGAAATGTGACTAGGTGTAGTGGCTCATGCTGCTGCACCCACCAGCAGGAGAGGCCCACAATGTAATCCCATCACTTTGGGAGGCTGAGGTAAGAGGATCACTTGAGGCCAGGAGTTCAAGACCAGCCTAAGCAACACAGCAAGACCCTGTCTCTACAAAAAATAACAAAAATTAGACAGATGTGGTGGCATGTGCCTGTAGTCCCAGCTACTCAGGAGGCTGAGGTGGGAGGATTGCTTGAGTTTAGGAGTTCAAGACTGCAGTAAGCTATGATTGTGCCACACCACTGCAGCCTGGGCAACTGGACAAGTCCCTGTCTGAAAAGAAAAAAAGAAATGTGAAGAAAAGAAAGCAGATAGAGGAAATGAAGGACAAAAAAGGTATAAGACAAATAGAACACAAAAAACGTTAAAAGTAAATTTTCTCTTTTCAGCAATCGCCTTAAATATAAATAGATTAAACTCTCCAATCAAAAGACAGGTTGGCAGAATGGATAAAACAACATGATTTAACTATATGCTGTTTATAGACTCACTTTATCTCCAAAAATATAAGTAAGTTGAAAGTATATAAAAAGATACTTTACACAAATAGTAACCAAAACAAAAGCAGGAGTGGCTATACTAACATCAGGCAAAATAGACTTAGAGATAAAGAAGTACATTATATATTGATAAAAGGGCCAATTCACCAAAAAGCTATAACAACTGTAAACATATGTGCACTGCATAACAGAGACCCAACATATATTAAGTAAATATGACAGAAGTAAGGGCATAATAGAGAGCTCTACACTAACAGCTGGAGAGGGCTAGGCATGGTGACTTACTGCCTGGCCAACATGGTGAAATGTCATTTCTACTAAAAATACAAAAACAAGGTAAGTGTGGTGATACACACCTGTAATCCTAGCTACTCAGGAGGCTGAGGCAGAATAATCGCTTGAACCTTGGAGAAGCAGATTACAGTGAGGCAAGATTGTGCCACTGCACTCTAGCCTGGGTGACAGAGTGAGACCTCGTCTCAAAAAAAAAAAAAAAAAAAAAAAAAAAAGATTGGCGAATGCAATATAGCACTTTCATCAATGCATAGAGCATCTGAGTCAAATATCGATAAGGACACAGAGAAAACGAGCAACACTACAAACCAATCAGACCCTACAGAAATGTATAGAAGACTCAACCCAACAACAGTAGGTTATATATTCTTCTCTAGTGACCTTGGAATATTCTCCAGGATAGACCATATGTTAGTCTGTAAAACAAGTCTGAATAAATTTTCAATAACTGAAGTTATACAATGTATGCTTTTCTAACCAATAACAGAATAAAGCTAAAAATCAATAATAGAAGGAGACCTGGAATATTAATAAATCTACAAAAATACAATACACTATTAAATAATCAAGGGACATTAGAAAATAGTTAAGAATGAGAATGAACAAATAACATACCATAACTTATGAGATACAGTGACAATAGTGCTCAGAGGGGAATTTATAGCTATAAATACCTACGTTAAAAAGAAAAATGATTTCAAATCAATAACTTAACACCTTGTGGATCTAGGAAAAGGAGGAAAAACCAAACCTGAAGCTAACAGAGGTGTCTTAGTCTGTTCTGCCCACTCTAACAAAATCCTATAGACTGGACAACCTATAAACAACAGAAAATTTCTTCTTACAATTCTAGAGGCTGAGAAATCCAAGGTCAAGGCTAATAGATTCAGTGTCTAGTGAACGTTTGCTCTTTGTTCCATAGATGGTGCCTTCTTGCTATGTCCTTACATGGGGGAAGGGGCTAACAAGCTCCCTCAGAACTCTTTTATAAGGGAGCTAATCCCATTCTAATCACTCCTCAAAGGCCTCATCTCTTATTACTATCACACCAGGAATCAGATTTCCACAAGGGGAATTTTGGGAGGATACAAACATTCAAACCACAGGAGGAAGGAAGGAAAGAATATGGATTAGAACAGAGGTAAATACAGAAAAGAAAAACAGTAGAATTAATCAACCCAAAATCTGGTTCCTTGAAAAGATCAACAAAACTGATTAAATTTTACTTAGTGTGACAAAGAAAAAAGGAGAGAAGACACAAATAACTAAAGCTGATATGATAGCGGAGACGTTACTATTGACCTTACAGAAATAGAGAAGTTTATAAGAGAATACTATTAAAAACTGTATGTCCACAAACTGGATAACCTAGGTGAACATTACTTCCTACAGAAACACAAATGACCCACATTGACTTAAAGTGAAAGAAAAAATCTCAACAGACGCAGAACAAAATATTAAACCAGTAATTGAAAAACTCTCAACAAAGAAAAGTCCAGGGCCAGATTTCACTGATGAATTTTACCAAATATCTAAAGTGGAGGTAACAGGAATCCTTCTCAAACTCTTCCAAAAAATTGAAGAGGAGGGAACACTTCCTAACTCACTCTAGGAGACCATAATTACACTGATACAATACCAGACGATGACATCACAAGAAATGAAAACTACAAACCAATAGCTCTCACGAATATAGGTGCAAAGTCATTAACAAATGTTAGTAAGTCCAATCCGAAGCATATTAAAAGGACTATACATCAGAGCCAGGTGGGATTTATCCCAGAAGGGTAAGAGTGAGTCATCAGGAGAAAGTCAATCAATGTAATATGCCATATTTATAGAACAAAGGACAACAACCACATGATCATCTCAATAGATGTTAAAAAGTCATTTGACAAAATCCAACACCCTTTCATAATAAAACACTAAAAAACTGGGAATATGAAGAAAAATGCCTCAAAATAATAAAAGCATTTATAAAAATAGCAAAACTGACATCATACTCAAGGGTGAAAGAATGAAAGCTTTCCTCTAACATCAGATCAGAAAGAAGACAGAAAAGACTTCCACTTCCACCACTGATATACAGTGTTGTACTGGAAGTTCTAGCCAGAGCAATTAGATAAGAAACATAAATAAAAAGCATCTAAATTGGAAAGGAAGGAATATAACTCTCCCTTCTCAGAGATTACACGATTGTATATAAGAAAAACACTAAAGAATCCAGAAGAAAACCACCAGAGTTAATAAATTCAGCACAGCTTCAGGACACAAGATCAATACCAAAAAATTAGTCGTGTTTCTATACATGTGCAATGAACAATCCAAAAAGGAAATTAAGACGGTATTTCCATTTAAATTGCTCCAAATGAATAAAACACCTAGGAATAACTTTAACCAAGGTGGTGAAGGACCTGCACACTGAAAACTACCAAACACTGGTAAAAGAAATTTAAAAAGATCTAGATAAATGGAAAGATTCTTAGTTCCTGGGTTGGAAGCCTCCATATTGCTAAAATGCCAGTCCTACTCAAAATAATCTATAGATTCAACACAATTCCGATCAAAATTCTGGTAACCATTTCCCCCCCAGAAATAGAGAATCCAATTCTTAAATTCATATGGAATTCAAGGAGTCTTGGATGATCTATATAATCTTGAAGAAGAACAAAGTTGAAGGACTCAGTATTATTCAGCCATGAAAAGGAATGAAGTTTTGAAACATGCTACAAGGATGAACCTTTAAAACATTATGCCTAGTGAAATGAGACAGTCACAAAAAGGCAATTATATGATTCCATTTATATAAAATCTTTAGGAAAAATCATGGAGACAAAGTAGATTAAAGGTTAACTGGCACTGGGTGGGTGGGGGGTGGTGGTGATGGGGAATTTATTGCAAAATGGTAGCGGAGTTCCTGTTTGGGATGATGCAAAATATTTGAAAACATAGTTGTAATGGTTGCATGCTGGTGTGGATGTAATCAATGCCACTGAATTATACACTTAAGAATGACTATAATAGCATATTTTATGCCATATATTATTATATTTTACCACAATGAAATATTTTTCATAAAGTAAGAGTTTCAAAACCTAATCAAAGCTTTTTACCTGCAGCATGATGTGACTGCAAACAGTATAATGAAGATGTACGCCAGGTGAAACAAAGGGACCACTGTCTCAGAAGTTGCCTCAAATTCCAGTCGCCTGGAAACCGATGTAAAGTGGACCACCTGCCACAAAAAATATACTCGGATAAATAACTTTTAATTACAATATTTGTGTGTGTTAAAAACACTATTGAAACGCTTTTCTTAGTGATGAAGCAATATGTTAAAATTCAGCAAAAGATAAAAATACATGAATTAAGATTTTAGAATAGAGAAAATAATGTAAATTTGCTCCTTTCCACACATCTCGGGTGTGCTTCCTCAACTTTCTTTCAAATTCAAAGTTTAAATAAAACTCCTGAATAAACAAAATTTGAATTGTATATAAAACTTTGATATCTCTCTTTTTTTTTTTTTTTGAGACTGGGCCCTCAATCTCCTGGGGCGAGTGATCCTCCTGCCTGGACCTTCTGAATAGCTGGGACTATAGGTGTGTGCCACCATGCCTGGCTAACTTTTCTATTTTTTGTAGAGATGGGGTTTTGCCAGGTTGCCTGGGCTGGTCTTGAACTCCTGGACTCAAGCAGTCCACCTGCCTTTGTGTCCCAAAGTGCTGGGATTACAGGCGTGATTACACCGTGCCAAGACTAAAACTGTTTAATCTTGTTCTCACTAACAGCTGGAAAAATTGTAACTTTTTCTAAATTTGTAGTGGTTGGTGTCTTTTACTATTTCAATTGCATAAATATTTCAGGAGGGCCTGGTCTTTGAAAACTCTTCCCAGCAGGTGTCTCTTTTACTTATGCACCTTAATAGGGTTGCTGACCCAGCGATAACTGAACAGCTAATATGTACCTCACACTAAGTCAGGTGCTTTGTATGTAACTAACTTGAAAAATGCTAGACTAGTTATCTTCTTAACACCATGGAACTTTTATGTAAAAGGTGGTTTGTTTCTTAATCCCAATGAGCTCCAATCAAGTTTTAGGGGGCTCCCCCAAACCAGTGAAGACTTTAACTAAAAGTAGAATTTCAGAGCACTGTAATTTGATTAGAAACCAAAACCCAAAATTAAATATGAAGATCAATGTCTGTACTGAACAGGCCCATCTGGTGGACACAGGATTTGTGTTATCAACTAGAATGTTACCAACGGGCATCGTCGGTGTTAATTGGATTGAATACCAAATACAGTAGAGCACACCCAGCCTAGAGGCAAGGACTCCACCAAGCAGTCAGGCAGTGCTTTTGTTAGGGTTCTGGGTGCAAGTCTTCCTCATCCCTCCCACCTTCTCCTGGTCTCCCTGTAGACCCAAACCGCCAGCTACCTCAATTTTCTTCAAGGCCAGGCTGTTCTTAATGCTGTTTAGTTGGTCGAGGAAATGGATGATCCACTGCTTGCTCTGCTCGTCGTCCTCAGGGAGCTCAGTCTTCAGGTAGTACAGCAGCCGCATGGCTTTGGCCTGCAGGAGTAACTGGCCCATTCCTAGGCTGCCCCCCAAGATGTGTCCTCCGAAGAAGCCGGTCAGGTAGAGGCGTTGTCCACTGTGGTTGTAGATGGGGAAGGAGATGCTGCTCAGGTCGAGCGTTTTGTTCACCTGCCAGGCGTGCAGGAGCGGATTGGGGGGCACGCAGAGCGTCCTGTACCTCGCGCACACCTGTTGGTATTGGATCTGACTTCCGTTTTCCTGCGCCGCACGCAGATCCTGTACCGCGCTGTCCAGTTTGCTGACTTCTGTAAAGGTGGCCGGGTCCAGCAGTGAGTCGCTGTGGGAGACCACCAGGATCGAGATGAAATTGGTCTCCGTGCTCCTCCTGGAGGGGGAGAAGCGGTAGGAGTCGTTGGTGGTGAAATGGTTCTGCACAAAGCGCCGCTCTGCCTTGGCCGGGCTCCCCACCGGGGTGTACTGGTACTCTAAGTTTTCCTCTTCGTTCTTGGGCAGGTACAGGAAGCCGGTGCCCAGCGCGGCCGTCAGCATCAAGGGCGCCAGCAGGAAGATCCAGGGGTGCGCGCCCACCTGCCATCCCAGCCACTGGAAGGCGCGGGACAGCGGCGCCTCTAGGCAGTCGGTGTGACAGCGGCGCCGGTGACCGCAGACGGCTACGGGCTCGGGGCTTTCCTCCTCCGGCAGGGGCGCATCGTCCCGCTCCAACTGCAGGCGGGGTGCAACGTCCGGCTCCGACGGCAGGCGGGGTGCATCGTCCCCCTCCAACGGCAGAGGGGTTGCATTGTCCCCCTCCGGCAGGGGTGCATCGTCCCCCTCCAACGGCAGAGGGGTTGCATTGTCCCCCTCCGGCAGGGGTGCATCGTCCCCGTCCGTCCGCAGGGGTGGTGCATCCTTCCCCTCCGACGGCAGGGATGGTGCATCGTCCCCCTCCGACGCCAGGGATCCTGGGGGTGCGGGGGGTCCCGTGGGTGGCTGCTTGCCCTCCGATTCTGAGTCCTCAAATTCCCAGTCCCACTCTGTCCCGGTCTCAGAGTCTCGCTTGGTGAGGTTGGGCTTCTGCTCCGGCCACGTCTCGGGCTCAGGTTCCACCCGCGGCATTGATTCTTCCTCTAAGGAAGCACAGGCAGGACAGCAGGTGAAAAGCAGCTGTGGAGATCCCACCAGACGGTTTCCTGGCCCCACCCAACGGTTTCCTGGCCCCACCCAACGGTTTCCTGGAGAAATTCTGGGGGAGTTTGCGCTCCGGCCGCGCGCCCGGACGCGGAGGCTGTGTTGAGAGCACGCGGTTTGCCCCTTGGCCCAACTAATCTGGAATGTGTTTGTGCGGCCTGCCTGGTCTCTCAGAGGTTCAGCAAATACAAGGAACGCTTCTTCAAGACCATCAAATGCTTGCCTATCCTATAGGACCCACAACTTACTGAGAGAATTTGGGTGTTTCTTCCACGCACACAAATGGCACAGAAATTCCACGTGTCCTGAGTGACAGATTTTACCTTTCTTGGCATTCACCCAGTACCAGTTTCAGGTAAGGCTTTTGTGAACCTGACACACTGGACTTAGCTATTATTTTTATTTTCTGTCCACAGGTGTAACATGTACATACATTCACCTTGTAAAAAGACATAAATGCGTAGAAGGAAAAATAGGGGGAAAAATCGAAATCTTTCTATCTCAATGTCTTAGAAGTGTTAAAAAATGGGTCTACCTCCTTACAACCCCCTATATCAAAGATATAGCAAATGTACCTTTTTTCATAAATATTACTGCACTATTCATGCTATGCAATTACATTTTTCATCTACAGTGGCAGAAGATTTGAACATGTCAGTGCATATACATTTATCTTATTTTTTGGAACTACTCTATACTTTGCCAATGTATGAAAGAAACATAATTTAGCCAGAATCTTATTGACAGACCCATTGATTGTTTAGTCATTTGCTTTTATAAACAGTGCTCAGTAAATGAGTATCTTTTTTTAACCTGTACACAAGAACCAATAAAAGCAGCCCTTCTACCTATGTCTGAAGAAGTTAACCCTGATTTTCCTAAGGAATCTGTAATAGTTTTCTTGGAGGTAGTTGCCTTGCAAGATACTGCTAATTATCCTCAAAACTTATCCCAGTTACCTCTTTTTGATTTTAGGGATATACATAGACTTAATTAAGCCCTAGCTGTCCTCAATAGGTTGGGTACAAATTGTGACACATGAAGTGTAATGTTACACAACAAAAGAACCACATTTTTCCAATTTATACTGATAAAAATTTGGGGAATATGTGTGGCAATTGATATTAAGGCTGTGGGATAATGGTGGAGACAAAACACAGTTGGATCAGGCTGAATTTACTGATATGGATTTACTAAACAGATTCCGAATTCAGTGTTGCAGCTCAGTGTTAGAAAGGGCTTTAATAGTTTGATTGGTTGATTGGCTGAAACTTGGACCAAAAATTGACCCCGCGACAAATGAAATTGAAATGCTAGAACTGCCTTGATATATTCCAGAGGAGGTTATATATACTGGATTGGAATGCTAGAATGGATTTATCATGTCAGACTTGCTTATCCACCAAGAGCAAGAGGACTAGAGGACACATCTTTCACCGGACTTGTGAGGATTGAATTTGTGAAGAAGTCCCCGCATCCTTGAAGAACTCTGTGTTCACTTTTCTTTGTAAGCTGGAAATTACAGTGGGAACGTTTGCCATTGAAATGGGGATAGTTGAGTCCTAGGGTGACAGGAGTCAATTGGCAACACTTAATTGCCAAAGACAAGGTGGGTGTGGTTACCATAATGGACAACAGAATCAAAGTAGTAGTAAGAATATTCCAACTTACAGAAACCCTCTGCAGAGACCCAACCAACTAGCATTGGCTACTTGATTATGGTGTCTCTAAAAGAGAAATACATGTGCAGACTATGAAATTTTACTGTTCATGTGGAAGAATTCAGCCTAAACGTTGTATGGAGCAAGAACTGAACTTTTGTTAGGTGGCTGAAATGTTGTTTCATTCTTCCCGTAGCCTATCCCAACTGATAGAAGATGATTCGCTTTTTACTCAATCTAAGAATGATTATCTTTTAATAATTATTCTGTTTATGTTTACTGATGTTTCAGTTACGTTTGGTTTTAAGTCTCTAGTTGTCATTTATATTTTGTATCTTCAGTACCTAGAACAAAGCCTGGACATATTAGGTGCTCAATAACTATTCGTTGAAAAATTAGTAAACTTTAAATGATATACTTAAACACATACTTCATTTGATCTTTCAGCCTTGGACTTTCTAACCTGAAAGTAGAGAATTTTCTTCTTCTCTGTCCGTTTCCCCTTCCACCACTGAGTTTGGTGAAAGATACCATTTTTTTACATTGTTATAATTTATTAAGCGTACATTCTATTGTAGCCAAAATTCTTGCAGCTGTTTACATTTGTAGCTCTATTTTTAATTAATTCAATATTTTCTGTAATCTCCTTTACCATGACTTCCCAATTTCTGAGGTCATAATTTTGATTTATTTATTAGCTGAACTGATTTCATTGCCAAGAAGTTTTTGTTTTTTAAAAACGAGGACTTAAACGTCTTTTTGCATCTTGTATCTTTGAAGATATATATCCAATCTTCTTTTATTTTCTAAGAGAATTTTGTAGACATTGCTTCACTGTCTCCAGCCTTCAATGTTGTCTGTATGATCCTATTCCCCTAGCTCTCCCCTTGTAGGTGACTCCCCACTACGCTTTTTCTGGCTGGTTGTCCACAGTAGTCTTTATTTATATTTGCAAATCAGTTCCTTCACTAGCATATATTGCATTTATTAATTTCTCCTTTTCAATGGGAAGATTTATGTCTTCCTTTATTTAATAAACTTTTCTTTTCCAATTTTGTTTTTGAATTCTTTCCTGAGGGTTTTCTGAGGGCTTGGATAAAGAAATGTTTACTAGGCCAGGCATGGAGGCTCATGCATGTAATCCCAGCACTTTGGGAAGCCGAGGTGGGCAGATCACCTGAGGTCAGAAGTTCGAGACAAGCATGACCAACATGGAGAAAAACAAAATACAAAATTAGTCGGGCATGGAGGTGCATGCTTGTAATCCCAGCTACTCAGGAGGCTGAGGCAGCAGAATCTCTTGAACCTGAGAGGTGGAGGTTGCGGTGAACCAAGATTATGCCACAGCACTCCAGCCTGGGTGACAGAGTGAGACCTCATCTGAGAAAAAGAAAAAAGGAAAGAAGAAATAAAACCTGGTGTTAGATAGATCAGTAGGGTGACTATAGTTTATAGGAATCTATTGGATATTTCAACATAGCTAGAAGAGAAGAATTTGAACGGTTCTAGCATAAGGAAATGACAAATATTTTAGGTGATAAATATCCCAAGTACACTTACTTGATCTTTACAAATTATATGAACATATTAAATTATCACATATACCCCAAAACTATGGACTTCTATTATGCATCAATAAAAAAATAACAGGGGAAAAAGAAAAAATTAAGATTATTCCTTAAAATTATAAATTATGTTTTTTCCATGAAGAAAACCCCCAAACCTATTTAAGCAATAAAATATTTCCTAATCACTTAGCTCACTGTAGCATTTTGTAGCTCTCTTGAATGATTGTCTGTTATCACATTTGGGGGTCAAGATTTTTGTCTATCAAAACTTTAAAGATACTACTTTATTGTCTTCTCGCATTGTTTTTATCCAGCATTGCTGATGGGAAGTCTGATATGAATCTCATGCTAATTCCATTTTTGGTAATCTCTCTCTCTCTCTCTCTCTCCCTC